AGATGTGTCATACCTTTCGAATTCTAAAACCAAAACTGCACATGCACAGACAGACAGAGAGTAAAGATAGACTGCATATAAACATTTATTCTCTGCACAGCTGTAAGGAATCAATGGGAAAACAATATTATCAATTACTGATAGAAAAATACCTTTGCTGCACCATGATCACTCTGCACCCGTACATACAGTTAATAGTAAAAAGAACATAGTATGTGTGTTATAATTTAAAAAAAATAAAATAATGCAAGCGTGCAAACATGACATCTATTAGGTATGAAAGTGTCACTCATACAAAAAGACATACAGTGTGTGGTATATTGGCATATTTTTTTTTATAATCTTTACAAAAAAATATCAGTGATAATCTCTTCTTTAAAATTTCTTCTTCTAGATTTCAATACTGATTGTGTGCAAATTTTTCAAACTTAAACAACATCTGCCATCTGTGATTAAAGAAGTCCTGTAGACCTATGAGGAGAAGGAAACAGAGAAGTCTTTGGAGTGAAACATCTTTTCAAATATTTGGCTTCGTGTGTAAAAATCAAGTGCTGTGAACTTTGTGTACAAGGTTGTGTCAGCACATTTTACAGCGTGTGTTGCTGTCAAAAAGGCTTTTCAAATACTTCATGTCCCTTTAGGCAGCTGCTCAGGTCCACAGTCCACAGAGACGGTAATATGACAAGCAGTGTGACACATTATCTCCCTGTGTTTAACACAGTGTAAAAGTGCAGCAGAAGCAGACATCCCTTTGTCATTTTTATGTCTTGTTTGACCAGTGTTAGTAAATGTTGGTGTCACAGGCAGCATTTTACAGTATGATTCAGCTTGGCTTCATAAACATTTGCACTTAGCAGTTTTTCATGAGAAAACTGGCAATCGTGTGGACCGGCGAGCACAATGTCTCGCTCGTTTAAGAAGTCCAGCAGATGAGACTGTAAAACAGAAAGGTCCTCCAACGAGGATCGACCTGCTTTTACATGCACATTAACAGAGCCGAGGCAAGGATCTTACACAGTATTTTGTATGACATCTTTAGTTCATCATTTCGAGGTTTAGTGGCCGACCACAGGTCACCGCATGATCATAGGCTGGCAATAACCGTGTGAGAGGAGTTTTTTCTGATTGGTTGACCTGAGCCTGACGTGGAGCGGTTATCCAGCAGTGTGACTGTGTCTCAGTCAAGGCGGAGGTGAGGGCGCTCCCTCAGAGGCCTGCAGATATAGATGTTTCTGTGCTGAAGGACGGACACACACACAGGACACGCAGGACAGAAAGAAATTAGATGATCAAAGTACAGCCTTTTTAGTGGTATATTGCAGCAACACGCAGGACACAGGAGAAAATACTTTTAATTGAATTTTGTTGTTCTTCAAATGTGAACGCTGTAACACAATAAAATGAAAATATGTATATACTGCTCAAAAAAAATGAAAGGAACACTTTTTTATTAGAGTGTATCATCAAGTCAAATTAAACTTCTAGTCAGGGGGCCGTTAATCAGTTTCAGCTGGTGCACTAGAGGCACAACAATGAGACAGCATCCAAAACAGGAATGGTTTTATAGGTTGAGGTCACTGACGTTTTTCCCTCCTCATCTTTTCTGACTGTTTTTGAGCATTGCATTAAGCTGTGGTCAGTGATGGTCTGGGGAGCCATATCTGGGGAGGGACACACACACATCTAAAGGCTAAGCAACAGCATCCTGACTGCGAGTCCATATCAGGATGAAATCTTTGGACCTATTGTCATATCCTACGCTTGTGCAGTCGGTCCTGGGTTCCCCTGGTGCACAATCATGTCTCATGTGGTGGAAGTATACGAGCAGTTCCTAGAGGATGAAGGAACTGATACCTCTGACTTTCCCATGCTCACCTGACCAACATTCAGTAGAACACCGGACGTGGTCCGGATCATTAGGATCTAATGTGTTTTCAAAGTGATTTGCTTTCATTTTTTTTTAGCAGTGTACATAATTATGTTACAAATGCAGCTATAGTGCATAAAACAATCATTAATGGCACAAACTCACTGAGAATCTGCAGTATTTCTACAGAGATTCAAAAAAATAATAAAAAAAAAAACACTAAACATATTAATATGTAAACCTGGTGAAAACTGGTATAATAATCTTTGGACCAACCTGCTGATCTGAGCGTCTCGGTGGCTTCACTGTGGCTCAGTTCTAACTGAGGTCCGAAACACGGCGTGTACACTATCTGAACTAAGTCCATTAGATCCCAGTGTCTGCACACTGATGTGAACAGGGACACTCAGGTCGATATTTTCA